AAAACTTCTGTAGTGGGTTCTGATAACTCTGCTCCCTGCCTCTCCCCTACAGTGGCTTCAGTCGCATCAGACTGTACCATCTCATTATCTGTTGATCCCTCAACCAGCATCTTATTCACCTCTGGATAAGATTCCAACTCTTTTAGGAGACCAGTCATACCCTCACTTGTGGCTTGCCTCTTCCCCATGTCAACCTGAGGAACTGTACCAAAACTTGACTCCTCCTCTAATTCACTCGAACGTGCAAGGATAGCAATATTCTTGCTTTTGCACTCACTGCCCTTGTGTCCCCAGCCATGACAAATACTACAGCGAGGGGGAAGCCATGGGAATTTAACTTCTATCTCTCTTGGAGCCCCTTCATTATCTTTGAACACTATCTTATCCACAAGCGGCTGATGCAAATTCACTTCAGCTAGTACCCGCGCCACATCCAAACGGATGCACTTCTCAGTATTGGGATGGAGCTTTACAAACTTGCCCACCGCTTTGGAGAGACACTTCAATCCCTTGTGTGAGAAGAGATTATTTGTAACCCCTTTGAGATCCACCCACAGCGGCATTGCAGAGAGGTCAGGAGGATGTAGAGCAGTCTCCGGTGTCCACTCATTCAACACCAACGGGATCTCTGCAATGTGCCAGTACCTGCGATGAAGAACTCTGGACCTCATCTGGGGATTGTCAATACGAAACAGAACCGTGTTCTTTTCAATGAACTGAACATCGATTTTTGAACCCGCCTGTGGATTAGACCAAATTCTGTTCACTGTGGCATGGATCGAACCGATGTGGGGGGCGTCCCCAATGAAGTAGCCCACCACAAAGCTCTTCCACAAAAGTTCAGCATCATCAAAAATTCCATCTGGGATCTGGATAGAGGCCACACCGTTCACAATCTCCACTTCTGGAATGGGGTCACCTAGGTCGCGATTCTTGGTCCATGGATTATCCCCTGCTGGAGAGCCGGTCTGAAGCTGGAGAACCGACCGACTGGGAGTGCCGCCGCCGTCACTAGGGTTTTCACCATCACTGTTGCCTTTGTCGCCGTCTTGGGCCATCGTTCTTAAAGGGATATTAAACCCGAAAACTTCTATATATTAAAAGAGAAGTCATGACTTCACTTCATGTGTGATATTTTAAAATGGACCATCTAATAGAATTTATGACATTACATTATTTAATCATTAATAACATTCATTTGATTCACTAATAACATTTATTGGGCTAATAAAATTTAGATGATCCATTGGATTTATAGATATTATAATAAAATACATGTTTAAATTAAACTTATATAATTTAATATTGTAATAGTATAAGTTAATTATTTATATATTTTTGATGTTAACTTTAAAAATTATATAGTTTATTTTTAAAAATAAAAATTCATCATTTTCTAACAATAATTAATCTATACTATATAATAATTAATCATCATTTTCGATATATACACCTTATATAATATATATCAATTTAGAAATAAAAAAATATTTATATAAAAATAAATGAAAACAAATACCCGCACGGTTGCGCGGATTGAAATCTAGTTTGATATTAAAATCTATCAGACAAATAACTCAAATCCGAATTGGTTATTTTGGATCGGTTCTGGTTCGAGTATTTTGTTCCACTTTTATGCCCGGAGCAACATAACGTCGTCATACAGATTCCAACACATGGGTTTTACAACATAGAGAGGACCAAAATCTTGTCCTTGGGCCAGGCCCATCTACCTGTATCATCGAGGCAGCAGGAAATCCTCCTTTCTCTTTCTCATATCTGTGTTTTGTTGTCTCTCGATTGGTCGTGTGAGTGAGGACGATGATGCAAGCAGTTTCCAGGAGATTAGTCCAACGGCCTCTCGCCGGAGAAACTTCGATCTGTTCATCTTCTTCTCTCCGATCGCTCTATGGAGTCTCTAATCACCGTTGAGTATCCACGATTGACTTAATCCCATTCGCATTTTCTAGGGTTTCTTAATGAGAGAAAATGGTTTTCTGATACAGTGAATGGAAGTGATAATCTTCGCTACTCGTCTTCCCTCGCTACTAAGGGTGTGGGGCACCTCGCTCGCAAGGGTACTGGTGGCAGATCTTCCGTCAGGTATCTCTCTTATAGAGGGTTTTGGTTTCCTGGAGAAATGTTATTGGTTTATTTAGGATAACGCAAGCTTAGTCTGTTCATGGAATTAGTTGGCTTTATGGATACATTTAGTTAGGGGTTTTCCGTATAATGAAAAATCTTGGTTTCTCTTTGCTTTGCCAGTGGCATTGTAGCTACGGTGTTTGGAGCCACGGGGTTTCTTGGTCGTTATCTTGTGCAGCAGCTTGGTGAGTTTGGTTTAACATTGTTATTACCCACCACCCGGCTATATCAATCTTGTTCTCCTTTACACTTGTTGGGTTTCTTATTATTTTCAAATGAAATCACTTCTTATAGCTAAAATGGGATCACAAGTGCTAGTTCCTTTCCGAGGCTCTGAGGACAATCCTCGACATCTCAAGTTGATGGGAGATTTAGGACAGGTAATATTTTTTTTCTTTTTTTCTTTTTGTTTAACACTTTTTAGGGTATGTCAGAAACACACTTTTTTTAATATATTATGCTTTGGATCAAAAGATTTGTGATGTATATTCCAGGTAGTACCAATGAAATTTGATCCAAGAGATGAAGACTCGATTAAGGCTGTCATGGCAAAGGCTAATGTCGTTATCAATCTTATTGGTAACTTAATTTTTCTACATCTTTTTAGAAAGCAACACTCTTCTTTTACCTTTTGGATCATATCTATTCTAATCCTCAGGAAGAGAGTACGAGACCAGAAATTTCAGTTTCGAAGAGGTGAATCATCACATGGCCGAGAAACTTGCATTGGTATGTGTCTGAATCCTGACAATTTCTCTCCGGAAACTCTGGTGAAGATGTTTCAATTTTCTTACTCATGAGATTGTTGTGTACTGCTGAAATGAGCTCCATATTTCTATACTCCAGGGTGATACGGTCCGCTGTGGAATGCTCTTTTGGTTATGTCTAATTAGATTGGTGGATTTGTTGTTTCAGGTGGCCAAGGAACATGGTGGGATAATGAGATTTATTCAAGTTTCTTGTCTGGGAGCTTCTGTGTCATCTCCCTCAAGAATGCAGAGGGCAAAAGCTGCTGCTGAGGAAGCTGTCTTGAGTGCGCTGCCTGAGGTAAACTTATCCCAGCTTGTGGCTTACAGAACGATCTTTTCTGCATTCATCATTCTGATATTTGATTCACTATTGCTGTGGCTCTACTTATTGTCAGATTTAAGGTAGATCATATCGTTCTTTTCTTGTGTAGAACTGGAAATACAGTATATGATTCTATGATGCATATTTGTTATCAGCCTGCTGCTTCTAATCAGGAACTGACGTATGTTTGTTTCGTAGGCGACAGTCATGAGACCTGCGACCATGATTGGTACAGAGGACAGAATATTGAACCCCTGGGCAATGTTCGTTAAAAAATATGGTTTCCTTCCACTCATAGGTGGTGGGACCAACAAGTATGTCCCAAACCTTTGTCTAATTCTTTCATCGGCTCATAGCAACTTACAGTGGCCATGATCCATTTCTTTCCCTAACCATAACTTCATTGCAGATTCCAGCCCGTATATGTGGTTGATGTTGCTGCTGCAATCGTTGCAGCTCTAAAAGATGATGGCTCCAGCATGGGGAAAACCTATGAATTGGGTGGTCCCGATGTCTTTACCCCTCATGATTTGGTAAATTCATATTGCTCTTCATTCTCTCTGTCACTGTGGCAGCTCGTTAGGCCTAATTATCAAGTTTTTTTCTTGCAGGCAGAGATCATGTTTGATATGATTCGTGAATGGCCTCGATATGTGAAGCTTCCGTTTCCAATTGCTAAGGTAATAAATCAACCGTTCACGGTTTAGAGTAGAAACTCAATTGAAGCTTCCGTTTCCAATTGTCAGAGTACGCGTATCTGAAGCTAACTAGAACTACAGAAGCCTAGATTGTTCAGTACTCTTTGTTTTGTTTTTCAAATGATACTAATTTCATTTATGTCACAATCTGGTATAGGCAATGGCGGGTCCTCGGGATTTCATGGTGAACAAAGTCCCGTTCCCTCTACCCTCACCTCAGATCTTCAATCTGGATCAAATCAATGCGCTGACAACCGATACACTTGTATCTGACAAGGGTTAGTCATTTATTCACAGAAGTGAAATGAGTTCTCTTTCATGAGCTGTTTGAGTCTCACTCCTTTGTTATTCAACTCAATGGCTATTTCCAGCCTTGACGTTTCAGGATTTGGACCTTGTCCCTCATAAATTGAAAGGATATCCAGTCGAGTTTCTTATCCAGTACCGCAAGGGTGGTCCTAATTTCGGTTCTACTGTAAGCGAAAAGATACCAACAGACTTCTACAATTGATGCTGCTTCTACTCAAAGGTCGTAATCCTGGACTAATTTTATTCATGCAAGTGTCACATTGAAATCGTGGAAACTAGATTTGGTATTTTGATCCCTTCCATTTTCTTGTGTCAATAATAAAAGGTTTTCCCCTTCTCTTTGTTGTTTACTGGAAAGGAAAAATAATAATTACCTGTCAACATGATTATAAGTTAAAGAGGGGCGTTATCAGTCTTGATGGGGAGATTTGTTCCCCTAGGATTATTCAATTTTCGAACTTTATGTCCTGCTTTGCTCTTGAGTGTTTGAGTGTTGAGTATAACCAACCCGATGCGCTTTCGTCTTTGCATGTATTCCATATAGCTCTTGAGTATAACTAAAGCCCTGGAAAAATCCTTTTACATGGTTAAGAGGGCATTTCTATAATGGATCTTGATTAATTATAGAAATCGTAGTATATAGTACCTTGCTTCTAGTTGTGGAAAAGAAGTGAAGAATTTTAGGAAACCTCAAGAACCAAGCAACAACGCATATAAGAGCTAAATGTCATGACAGCCGGGGAATAGGACAAGACTCATTTTTTGCGTTATCAAAAAAAAAATGGAAGGCGAAGAAGACGATTATCCCGGGCCTGAATCCTTCGCCGAGGGAATCAACCTGAACGGGAGAAATGTCGGGGCAATGATGCTGGCGCCTAGGGATGTAGACGTAGCAAGTCAGAGTGGTTGCAGGATCAACATATACGTGAACAGCAATGTTCAAGCTACTTGTGGGTCGGCTCTTATTGGTAGCAAGGTTAAGCTAAGAGATCCTGGTGTTCATCTCCACATCGAAGACGTTAAAATGCCCCGCGAAGAAGACGGATCTAGACAGAAAGAGATGAGGTTGATTAAGGTTGGGTTATGTTTGGTCTGTCTCTTTAACGTCTCTTTAGGACTCCTCTTGCTCTCCTCTTGGCTCCGGAAGGAAACGGAGTCCATATAGATATCTCCCCATCCACCGCTGTTCATGGTAAGAAGAACGACATGGTCTGTGATTGTTTCTTCGTATAGTCACCTACTTAAGATGTAAATATTTAGACTATTCTGAAACAGTTGATGTCTACATCTACAAGGGTAAAAGAAACACATATGTACTGTTGTAGTGTTGTATATTATTTTTTTTTATGTTTTCTCTAGATTGATACGATGGTTGATGTTATATTCCAATCATGTAAATTCAGTAGTATGAGGCTACCGAATTCTAAGCTGTAAGTGCAACGTAACAATCAAAATCTCAGCTACGGGATTATAATTATTGATCATTAGAGGAATTAAAAACTTATCTCAGTTGAGGTATATTTTTCTAAATATATATTTGCCCATCCAACCACTAGATGATTAAGGTTTCATTTGTTATATAATTTATTTAAGAATCTTTCAGGAAGTATATGTCATTTACAAAGTTGAGCCAATATTTAATCCAGTACTTTTGCAATCACCCTTGCATGTCCACCAATTGTAACAAATAATTGAAGCATCAAAAGTTTTTCTTTTATTGCGGGAAGAAAGTGAATGCTTGGCCATTACTATTATCATTAATTTATTATAAAAAAATAATAAATATGTTTGTTGCAAGCAGTAGTACTTGATGGTGCTTTTTTTTGAGCAAACACTGGGGAGCACAGAGTTCACCCACTTCCACATGCCACGTTTGTCTCTTGTAAAGTTTATGTTTTTTTTTTGAAAGGAACGCGAGGGTTGTTTGCATGGTTTCTGTGAGGGTTGGGTAATCGGGGTCCCAATCGAATTTTGGTCAAGTTTATTTGTGTTTCGGATTTTCGGGTTCATAAATTTTAGCCCCATTCAAATATTATAAAAATTTAGATCGGATCCAGTTTGATTTTAGCTGGGTTCGGTTCGGATTTATTAACATGTCCAAGATCCGGTTAAATCCAAAATAGTTTCAGTTTCAAATACTAATCGGGTTATCGATTCTAAATATACTAATTTATACTCAATTAAACTCGCTATATTTTCAATTTTTTTATTAAATTTGTATATTTAGCTTTTACAAACCATACTGTTCTCCTTCGAAATAATATTGTGAAATTCGTCTATCAACCATATAAGATTTGTCACTAAACTATATGTGACAACACACTAAACATATCATGATGAATGATAAACCAAAATCTTGTATGAAAAAAAATCATACATGATGAAACATAAAAAGTTAAAGTTAACAACTAACAATTCTATAAACGTAAGAAGTAATATTTAAACTTTAACAAAAAAAATTATTTAAAACTTCAAACAAATTTATTCGTACTTTAACTTCAAATGTAATGTCAATCATAAACATTAGTATTAACCAAATAACACTATATATTAGACTAAATATTTGAGTTAAGTATTCATATCCTAACTAATTATTGTAGGTACTCAATAATATATTAATGGGTTTTGGAAAAATATTAGAGATTTAGATTGGGTATGATACAAGTTTTTTTGGAATTTTAAAGTTTCGGGTTCTTTTGGATATCCATTTAAGTTTGGGTTCGATTTGGGTAAAACCCATAATGCAAAATATCAAAAAACAAGATCCATTCGGTACTTAAATCAGGTTCGGATCAGTTCGGTTTCTTTTTATCGGATCGGGTTCGGATCAGGTTTGATTCAGATTTTTGGATTTGGTTTTTTTTCCCAACCCAACTTTCTAGATTTTAGCTTTTGTTATCTGGATCTTGGTTTTTAGATTTTAGTTTCTAGTTTTGAGTTTTTGATTTTCTTATAGATTTTAGGTTTTCAAAAGACTTGAATGTAATATTGGTTTTTGTTTTTTCAAACTAAAATAAGTTATTGATAATAAAATATTTGTAAAACAACAAAATACAAATTATTATTATTATTAGCAAAAAAATAATAAAAAAAAGATTATAAAAAGTTTAAAACACATAAAATTATGTAATTCAAATATTTTAACATAAAAATAATAGCTAGATTTTAAATAAAACAAAATTACAATGTAATAAATTTTCAATAACTATAACTAGGAAAATTAATTAACTTTATATAAATTTATAGTATCAAAATATTAGTAATAAAATTATAAAATTAATCTACCAAAAAAATTGTTTTGTGATATCTATTCATGTGTGTTTAGGATAGTGTAGCTTTTATAAAGTACTCCCTCTGTTTCATTATAAGTGTCACTTTACAGCTGTGCACACAGATTAAGAAAATAATTAATTTTACATATTTCCTATATAAAAAACACAATTACCTATACATCTAACCATATTTTAACCAATAAAAAAACTAATTGCATAATAAAATTAAGAAATTTTGCATTGAAAACCGAAAACGACACTTATTTTGTAACGCAAAAAAATCTCTACAACAACACTTAATATGAAACGGAGGGAGTATATGTTTTCTAAAATTAATAATTTTTGAAAATGTTATAAAATAAAATAATTATTAGAACATATGATTTACTATAAAATTATAAATAGTACTAAGTATTACCACATAAAATAGGCACTTTTAAAAACTAACTAAAACAAATTACATATATTTTGAGAAGCATATATAATTTATATAATTCAAAATTATAAATTAAAATAAGAGAGAAACTTTTAAAATAAAAATAACCACTCTAATAAATATATAATACTCATAAAAAATTAATTAACTTTTGTTTGAGGTTTGTGGTACAAAATATCCCCTATATATTAATTGAGAAACATTTGAAAAATTGTAACCTCAATTTTATAATAATTAAAAAAGATCACATGCTTACGTGGCACTCAATTAGGTAGTCAATTACATTCAATTGAAAAATAAGTAGGTCCACATTCGATTTTTATATGTCGCTAGATATATTTGTTGGTCAAACTATATGATATGATATTTATGAAAGAAGCATTTATGATTGTCCTGCTAGATATAATTACTATTTTATTTTCTTCCCTTAAATAAAAGTTACGGAATTACCATAAATGACAAATATATATATATATGAAAATTAATGTTTCTAATAATAAATATTTGATAACAATTTGTATCTCCTCCATCATTTTTTTAATTTTATATTATTAAAATAAATCAAACAATCAAATTAGCTATAAAATTAAACTTTAGATTTTTTTCGTATATGTTATATTTTGAATTTAAAAAACCAAGAATAAATGACTAAAACTATTAAAATTATTATGTTAAAAATTAATGATCAATAGTTTAACATTTTTATTATAAAAAGATACACATATTTTAAAACCATATGAGTAAAAAGTATCATTCAATAATAAAAAAATATATAGATTAAACTATATACCATATAAGATTACATACTTATTTTAATTTCAAAAATTTCAATGAGTTTTCAAGAACATTTATAAATTATAAACGTATTAATTTTTTCACATTGAAAATTTTGTTATCAATGATTTAAATATATTAGTTCTTTTTTTTTTAATTTTCTATTTTTTAAAGATATTAACACAATCGATAATATATATGGTTTTTTTGGTATATACCATACAAACCGAATGTATGTGATTTTATAAAAACCGTAAGATTTGGATATGGTTTGATTTATAATCGATTAAACTGAAACATGTAAATATGTATATCTATTTGTTACATGAGTTGAACTATAATTATGATTTTTAAATCACTTGAATCACTTGAAATATAATTAACTAACAATTTAATGCAACTGAGGCTTCTTATTTTCTTCGTCTTTTTTTATCTTTTTTAATAAAAACTAAATTGAAGTTAAATTATAAATTTAATGGACAACAATTAGTTGAAATTCATTACAATTTTTTTTTAATCTTTAAACAAACAGTGTTGTGTTCAATCGAAGACATATTAATTTGATGAACACTAATTATGGAAGAATATAAAAACTTTTCTTTCATGCTCCTGTTTTGTTTTTATTTTTATTTTCAAAATTTAGAGATTTGATATTAATTCTAGATTTGATCATTTTATTAGATCATAGAAGCTTTTTTGTTTTTTATTCTTTTAGTTAAATATATAATATTTTTTTTAGTAAATGACTTTTTGACAATATGACTCTAAATATGATCATATTATTTATTTTTATAATATATAATATGATTTCAAACTAAATAATGATGTATTTTGATATAAAATTGAATAAACTGAAAACCAATATATAAACCAAATCAAAGTGAAGTAAATATGGATTTAGAATAGTAGTTATATTTTAATAACCAAAATATTGAAACCCTATAACCAGATTGAACATTCTTAATCTAGATGAAACTGAACTTTTGTTTCATTTTTCAAAACATAATAAAATAATAACTTCATCCCGCGCAAAGCAAGGATCTTATCCTAGTTAGTTATTATATCATGAATTTATCTCACCTAAGAAAACTCCAAAGTTTGAGTTGTGGAGAATATTATATGTAAATCATTTGTTCATGCAGTTTTTTGTAATTGTAGATGTGATTATTTTATATATAAATTTATTTAATGTATTGGAAACAGATGAAAACACTCATAGGACTTTTGATAAAAAAAAACAATCATAGGACTTAGAGCATCTCCAAAAGGACACTCTATTTTAGAGTTTGCAAAACTCTATATATGAAGTTTGTAGGTGTTATACTCCAAAAGCAAAACTTCAAACCAAACTTTAAAACTATTTGTATTTTATATTATGGTCCTTATATTTCTCATAACTAGTTAAAATTCATGTAATTTTTATAAATAACTAACACATATATAAATATATTACAGCAATATTAAATGATAAAATGTTACACTAAAATATGAAATTATTAATAGAAATATATAATTAAATATTAAACTATAAATAAAATACCACATTAACTCTAGTAATATTGTTTTTGTCTAGCTTTAATTTAACTATTTTAAATCTTATCTTGTTGTTTTAAAAAAATAAAAAATATGTGTAAAATTTAAATTTATAAAAAAAAATTGAAGTATTTATGAGATAGGAATCTGTAAGAGTTAAAATGATAAAACCATAAAATATATAAGAATTATAAATATAATGTATAATTGTAAGGACCTAAATGCAAATAAAATATGAAACTTCAAATTTGAAGATTTGAGTAGTGACACTCTATATTTGAAGTTTCACTACTCAAAACTTCAAATTTGAAGTTTTAGAGTTCCTTTTTGGAGAACCAAAAACTTCATATTTGAAGTTATAGAGTGTCTTTTGGAGATATTCTTAGGAAAAACCCATAAAATATGATTTTTGATTTTATGTACGGAATTTTTAAAGAGATGAAAATCTAATTCCCCTAAAAATAGCGAATATAATTTTCTTAGATCTTAATTAGGTGAAAATTTGAAAACTAGATTTTGGAAAAAAAAAAAACTAGAAACTATTCTAGAATCTATAAACAGTTAAATTTCGAAGTCTGTTTGTTATTTATGACTATGATGAGTTAGAGATCAAAATAAAATCTTCAATTTAGTTATTTGTGCAATTTAAATATTTTGACGTACTTACTAATTACTATTATCACGTAGTTGGCTGGTTGGACATTATGATGAAATTTTGGTCCCAATGAGGAAAAGAATGCCATTGAATAAAAATATTTTTACTAAACTATTTTATACACTCAGAGCAGGATTTGAGATTCCAATGAGTAATTTTTCTTTTTTTTCAAAGTTTGAGGGTTTATATCAAACCTTCAAAACTTTTGGAGGTATATGCTAATGTTCATTGGCTAATGCCATCCGGCCGTGTATAGTTTTTCTTCTTTTTTTTTGAAAAACCGTGTATAGACTTAAATCCATTCTTTTCCTAATAAACAATTACACTGATTTGTCCCCGCTAACTATATTTAAGCAGAGTGGTAAATCATGTACCCATCGAAATACTTGTAGTTAGTGAGGAAAAAAAAGTTTGATTGCGGCTTAACTTGAAGTAATCATGTTAGAACGTGTTATTCGGTTTAGTTTGCCATCCTATCAATCACAACGTTACACATGGACTAAATCCCACTCTTTCGTCGTCGTGACTCGGAAGCACGTTACGAGCGAAGAGGTTGTGTCAAAGGGGTCCAAAGAAGCCCGAAGGAGTTATAAAGTTGACGTCATCGACCCTTGTAGCAGAAAAAGAAAATACGTGGCAAGGTCCCACTGGTCACCGACAACTAGAAGAAGAAATGACGGCGCAGATTTAGCTGTCCAGACTAACGTGCGCTCTCCCTATTTCCCCTCTCTCCATGATGGTGATGAGACCAACTCAACTCAAGAACAAGTCAAAATCCACTTATTCTTCAAAATCTCAAAACAACTTCTTCTTCCCTTTCAGACATCTCTAGATCTCACTTCCTTGTCTGGAGGATCAAATAGTCACCTTCTTCTCCGTCTCTCGCGGATCATTGTCGGTACTATTCTTACATCTGCTTCTTTCCGATCAAAGCTTAGATCTTTTTTGTTCTACAACTTGGATTTAGCTCCAATC